AATACAAATGTCAAATAAATAAACACACTCACACACACCACAACTTACACACACACACACGGGGAAAAAAAGATTTCTAGAGCTGCCCGAATTTTCTTCGAAAACAATATAGAAAATATAAAAAGTATGCGAATTATTATTAAGTCTGTCAACGCGAAAATGACGCGAAAAATAAACAAAGCAATTTCAATGAATTCGTTTTTTTTAATGCCTTTTTATGCTAATTTCTAATTTTTTGATTTATCTTTTCAATGAATTATTCACGTTTAACTGTCTTAATGTGTTTTTTTTATCAGTTTGTGAAAAACTTTTTTATTGTCTTTAGTGTTTTTTTAATTTTATTACACTAATAAATTGTATTTTATTGTACAAAATATATTTTGAAATTATTATTTTTGGTTTTAAGATATTGAAAACCGAAATAATTTTTATTATTCTTAGAATTTTTCTTTTATAAAGAATATATTTTAGGTGCACAAAACGTATTTACAATTTAGGGAAATATTTATTTTTGGTTTTAAATATTGAAAACAAGAAGCATTTAAAAATTCCAAGAAAATCATCGATAATAGTTAATCTGTTTTCATTTACATTGTTTTAATTTATACAAAATATAAATTTTAAATCTCATTATCATATTATTGTTTGAATTTATTGAAAGCACAAATTATTAGAACGGTTTATGTGTCAATAAATGTATTCAAAACAAACAATTTTAAATCTTTTTATTTACATTACTTTTGTAAATTTATGCAAATATTTTGCTATTAATTTAAGCAGCTTTTTTTTTCTTTATTCACATATTATATTATGAGCAGTCAAAAAGTATTAAAACTGTTTACATTATTTTTCAAAATGTATTCAAATATTTGATTTTTATATTGAACTTTATATTGATGCACTTGGGCAATAAATAAAATGCATTTAATATGAATTTCACAACAAGCACTAAAAACTATGTTGTAAATATCGCGGAAGAATAAAAGAATAAAACTTTTAAGCGACTTTTTATGATAATAAATTGCCTTTTGTTGTTGTTGTTGTTTTGTTTTGTGTAAGCACTTTTTAGCCGCCTTGCACACTTTTTGTTTATTTGCTTCTTGTTTTTGTTGTATTATTATTATTATTATTATTTCTTATTCACAGCACGCTTTTTTCTTTCTTTTGCTTTTCGGCTTCTGATTTCTCAGTCAGTTGCTGCTGCTGCTGCTGTTTTTATGTTGTTGCTGTTGCTTTTTAAGTTGCTGCTGCTGTTGCTATTGCTGCTGTTGCTGCTGCTGCTGTTGTCGTGAGTCGCTTGGCAGTCGGTTTATAACTGGCACGAGCCGCTGTCAGCGAAGCAGCACGAACCGAATGCGGACAACAGTACGTTGACGCCAGCAGCGAGAAAGTTTGCGTTTGCATTGTTGCAGCAGCAGCAGAGGCAGTCGCAGCAGAGGCAGCCAAGCGAATTTTTCAGCGCTGTAAAATGTGCGCCGCTGCGTCTGTCTGTCTGTGTATGTGTGTGCGTGCGTGCGTGTGTGTGGGGGTGGCGCTGCTTGCTGTCCAGCTATGCCATGTTATGTTAACATTTCACTGTCTGTCTGTTAACTGTAACAGAGCGTTGCTGCTCGCTGTTATTTGGCTTATCAGTTTTGTGTTTTTAGCTTTTTGCCAAACGCGCATTGTTGCATGTCAGCGTTGACAGCGCTGCCAGCGTCGCTGTTTGCCTGCTGCTTCTGCTTGCTGGCCGCTGCCTGCTTTCAGCTTTCATGTTGAAACCAATTCGTTTGTCATTTGTTTAATGACACAAATATTTGTGCAAAGTGTTTGCATTCATGTGTGTGTGTGTCATTGCGAATGTGTGTGTGCCACTCAACTCATTTTCAATTTCCATTTTCTTCTTCATCGTAATAATTTTGTATGTTATTTTTATTATTTGTGTATTTTTTTCTTCATTTTGGCGTCATAAAAGTTTTTCCGTTGCCAGGCGCAAGTCGTCTATAAATGTGTGTGTGTGTGCCTGTGTGTGTGAATTGTGCTATAAATTTGATTACTACATAATAGCCCCCAATAATAATGCGACTAATGACAATACTTTGCCAGCAGGTGAAAGAGGGAGGGGCGAATTGTGGCTTATTTTTTTTTGTGGATGCCTTTCAGGCAAATTGAATTCCCCATTTTGATGACTGTTAAATTAAGTTGAAATGTTTTTTTTCGCCCAACTTTGGCCAACTCAAATCAACTTCTTCGTGGGCAGGGGGATGATGGGGTATTTGGGTTATACACTCAAATTTCACAACCCTCGCAACAAGAACAAGAACAACAACAATGTAAACAACTAAATAAGGAAGTGACACCGGAAGCAAAGCCAGTCAGCTAACAGCAGCAGCGATGCCAGCAGCAACAGTGACGCCAGCAGCGACAACGACGAACGCGTGGAATGCGCAAAGGAATTTCAAACGGCGACTGATGTCGACTCCTTCAATCTACTTCTACACAACCCACCCCATCCCTCCACTCCCCTCTCCAAGCATCCACCAGTCCTTGCCCGCATTGAGTGCCAACTGACGCTGCGGGCACTTTAACAGCGGCGTTAACAGTAGCCCAAAGCAAGAATCACTCAAAAAAAAAAAAAAACCAACGAAAAAATACAAGACTTTGCAAGAGAGCCAATGCTCTATTGAGCGCTCTCTCGCCAGCAAGCAAGCACGCTCCGACTCTCGCTCTCACTCACTCGCTCGCTCGCTCGTTCGTTCTGTCTGTAAAATGCCAACAACACCGGCCGGCTGTAATGTAAGCTAGTAAAAGCCACAAGAGCAGAGTTAACCCCTCACCCCTTCCCAACGCTCATACGCCTTACACTCTCTCTGACTCTCACCACGACGCACTTTGCAGTTTAACCTATAAAAATACCGCAGCAACAACAACAGCAAATGTTACAGCAACAGCAAGAGCAAATGTTACAAAAACAACAACACGCAGAGCAGGTTTTCGACTGCAGCAGCATGGAAAATGTTGTCTGCTCGCTGCTGTTGCGTTTTATGTGCGACGGCTGCTGTTGCTGCTCTTTAACGCTGTGCGCCTGTTACGCACGCAACGGAGTTGCCAACACACACACAAGCAGCGCGCGCAAATATTACGCAGCAGCAGCAGCCACAGCAGCAGCGACGCTAGCTTCATTTGCTCTGCTAAATAGCTGTTATTGTTGTTGTTATTTTCATTTATTTGACTTTGTTGTGATTATGCGCAGTGCACGAGCATTGGCGTCAGTGGCGGCGTCTGCGTCAACGTCAGCGTCGCGCTGTAGCCAGCGACCCATGGAGGGCATTCGAGTACTCAAAAACAATAACAGCAACAACCAAAACAACAACAACAACATGAGTAACATGTTAAATATGCAGCTAAGCTGTCTCTGTGGCTGTGGGGTGTGAACGACCAGCAGATACGCTAGCTATTCAAAAAAAAATAGGGTATTCAAACAATCAATGTGTATGTAGATATATAGATAGCCCGCTAATACCCTGTACTTATTAATAAATTAGCTAAAAATGAAAATATCGAAATGAATATTTGAGATCCGCTTTAAATATTAATAAATTCTTGATTCATTTATTAGAATCATGACAAATTTTTTTAAACTAATACCCTATAAGTATTTATGATTAGGGTAAGTGTCAAAAGATTGCCGCTTATTAATATGATTGATTTAAAGGGTAAAGGGTATTTAGGCCTCGGCATGCCAAAGATAGGCCTCATTTCTTGTTATAATCATCAAAACTGTTTAATCAATATCGAGATTATCTTAATTTTGTTTTCTTTTAAAGTATAGCACCTGCTTTATATATATATATATTTATATATATATATATATATATATATATATACATATATATATATGTATCATCTTTATCCAATTCTTGTATTTTACACTTGCCACAGCCGTACTTTCCAATCTATGCTACTATTTTTATTTGTTTAAATATTATTCGGGGAGTTTCTATCAGTTAATATTTTGAGCCGCCTTTTCAACCCTTTTATTCCTCTATTGGGCTACATCTCTTACCAGCTCCGGCAACATATATCGGGTTTAATCCATATTTCTCCATCAATACTTCAATGTACGTATTACCTTCAATCTAGAACTGCTGAGCGTAAGCCATGTTCACAAGAGTTAATCGTTCTAGCCAGCAATTTGGCAACGTCATGTGGTGGATAAGGAAAGAGTATCGGTGGCAGGTTCAGGGGCAGAGGTAAGGGGCAAGGTAGAGGAATATGCAGAGGCAAAGGCAGAAGCAGAAGTAGAAGAGTAGAAGTTGAGAAGTAGAGTCAACGACAATGTCTGCCCATTTCTATGGCTCTGTTTCTGTTTCTGTTTTTCAGTTGCTGTTTGTTGTTGTTGTTGTTGTTGTAGCTGTTGCTTCGATGTTGGCTGCTTCGTCGTTAAAACTCATTGCCAGTTTGGGGCGGCGGCGCTCAACTGGAAATGCGGCCCAGCCAGCCAGAGGCTGCAGGTGTCTGTCCAAAGATACATATATGCACACACACACACAGGTTCATATATATCTATAGATATACTTGGAATCAGCGTGTGCCTGGCCAAATGCTTAATTAGTAGCTGCTGGCAGCAAGTTGTGAGTTTTAATAAATGATGTTGAAAACAAAAGAAACAGCAACACACAAAAACCAAAAAAAAAAGAAAAAAAAAGATGGCCAGCTAGATAGATAGATAAATAGAAAGATAGATAGATAGTTGGATAGATGGATAGTTTCGAACTTGTTTACGATCATAACCAGATATATTTCCACGATCAGAGCAATCAATCAACTTTTGTCAACGCCCCGAAATATATAGATAGATAGATGGATAGATAGATAAAATATAGATAGATAGTCTACAATATAAAGATAGTTGGATAGATACTGACTTAGCTAGGATCAAAACCGGGTTGATTCGATGGACAGCCAGATAGATAGATCCATATGTAGACAGATAGACTCATAGATAGATAGATGGACAGTTCGATAGTTACAGACTTGGTTAAGATCGTTTATTTATTTATTATTTTGCACGTTCAGAGCAATCAATCAATTTTTGTCAACGCCAAAATACACTTCCCGAAAAAATATACATCCTATCTGCCGCCTCTGAAACCCCGCAGGATCGTCAGTGGCGCCCCCTCTGATCTGGATGATAGCGTATGGTGAAGCCGTCGAAACTGTGGACAGGTATCTCCAAAGTGGGCGTGAACTCGGCCCGATCCACGATGGCATTCTCGCTGCCAAAGCAGAGCAGCCAGAACTTGAGCTCATTGACACTGGGCAAGGTTCCCTCCAGTTCCCCCTGCACCGTGCCCCGATCCGTGTTCATCACCCAGCCGCGCACCCCGTTGGACAAGGCTAAGGAGCGGGTTGCTTTGCGCATCTGAACACCCTGCACCTCCCCGAAAACCTCGAAGCCACAGGTGAACAGCTGATTCTTAGCGGACAGCAAACTTGCCATTTTTATTTTGAATTCAAATTCAAATCTTAATTTTTACGTATTTATTTTAGTTCGAGATTTTTGAAACAAAACAAAAGAAATATATGGTTGCTGTCAAGTTGATTTTGCAACAGTTTGCTAAGTTGTAGAAATATTTCCGATAGTTTGATAAAATATTTATATGCCAAATATTTATTTATACTTATCTAACCAACATTATTAAATGGAAAAGTGAAAAACTCTCTTTTACCCATTTTGATTGGACTCAGTCACTAAGCAGACTTAGAAAAACATTTGCAGGTGTTTCTCAAATTAAAATTCGCAGTTCTGATTGAAAGATGGCGCTTCAAAGTCACATTGACTCATTTATAAAACGCTACTTGAAAAACAATTAATGAACACTTAAAAGAAAAACACCTGAAAGGAAAATTGTGTGAATTAAATGCAAATAAAAAAGAACCAAGTGATAAACTACCCTTGAAAAGCGTGACTCGTGTGAAATTGAGGAATTATGGATACACTTACAAGTAAACATGTGTGTGTGTGTGTGTAGAGGAATAGAACTTAGTTTCTATTGGCAGCACCCTCTTTAACTAATCACAATGTATCAAATTGTATCCCTTATACTATATCCCATATATGCCACATATCTCACATATCGCATATCAGCACTGGGGACTCATAAATCACATGCCACACACACACACACACACACACTTTCTCCTATGTGTGTGTGTGATGTCAAGTTCATCTCATGGCAATCCAATCAACTGGCGAATGCCGCACAAAAAGTTACCAACAACAACCACCGTCTTTTAGCCAAATTTACCCCTAAATATGCAGCAACCTCCACAGACACCCCCTAACTACCTATACAGACATATATATATATAAATTTATATATATATATATAGAGGACTGCAAAACAATAACTAGCGAGATAAACAGACAACATTTGGCGGTAATGCAAACGACGACGACAACGATTCTATGGCAAATATTTAATATGATATTTATGGGGCAAGACGATAGACGGCAGCGGTGAGAGGGTAGAGGTGGGGTCGGGGGGGTGTGGAAGCGAACTAAAAACAGAGTCAGAATCAGAATCAGAGTGTGAGCAAAGAGGCCGGTGATAAATGACTACAGCAAAGCCAACAGCAATGCCGACAGCGACGGCGACAGCAACAACGACAGCTACAGTGTTGTGTGCTGTTGTTGTTGTTGTTGCTGTTGCTGTTGCCCATCAGCCATCTCTTAATGTTAAAGCCAAAGCCAAAGCAACGAAAGCAGCGCTGCAGCAGCGACGTGCTCATTCAAATGTAACCAGCACGAGCCGCTGTTGCTGTTGCTGTCGCTGTTCTTGTTGCTGTTACTGCTGCTGCTGGGTCGCTGCTTCTGCTGCTGCGACTCGTTGAGCCGAAGGTGAGCAAGGCAAATCAAACAAGCCGAAGTGCAAAAAAAAAATAAAATTAAAAATGTTGCTGAAAAACACAACGCTTGAAGGGACACAAAACTGGGCTTCAATTGCGACGCGACGCACAAAAACTTGACTTGAGCAGCAGCGAAGAGCGAGGTCAGCGCAGAGCAGAGCAGCGGAGCGCAGTAAACTGCAAGCTTACGTACGTATTAACAGACAGTGCGTGCCTAACAGTAACTGGGCGCGATCGCCCGTTAACAGCTCCACTTGTCTCTGTTAACTGTTATTTATTGCAATTCTTGGAATAGGTCTAATCACTGTCATTAACAGGAGCTGTAAAATAACATTCAGTGTACGATCGACACTTGTCTGTTAATTGTTTTAGAAATGAACTCAAATCGAATATCGACAAAATGATTTCAAATCACAACAATAAAAGCCCAAAAAGTACAGTCTACACACACACATTTTCTAATTGAAATACAAATGTAAAGCTAAATACTAAAATTAGCTTCCATATAAAAGTGAAGAGGCTAGCAACAAAAACAAAAAATACAACAAAGTTCAAAGGGGGAGAATCAATTTCGAATATAATTCAAACGCAATATGTAAACACTTCAAATCTAGGGGGAAAAAAACAACAGCAACAAAATCAAAACACAAATGTGAAAGAAAAGTATAAAGAAAGAAAGAACAAGCAGCAGCAGCATAGACTGCGACGCTGCAGCATTGCACTGTAAATCGCTGCAGCTGAGCAGCTGGCCGAGGCGCCTGCATTGGGTGGGTGGTCGTGAGAATGAGGGGAGAGAAAGAAGAGAGAGAGAGAGAGAGATGTCGCCTTGGTCTCTGCTTGCTGCGCTTTGCTATTCGGCTGTGCGAGTCTCGTCTCGGCTTGGTTTGGCTTGGCTTGGCTTTTAATATCGTCACACACACATGTGAAAATATACTTTGTTTGTTTACGCGATGACACAATTCTAAATCTCTTTTGCTGACCCGCTCTCTCACTCCCACCTATTATGTGTATGCTGTGTGTGTGTTTGAGTTTGTTTGTATTTGTATTTGTGTGCTTAAACTGAGCTTTGTTTGTCAAGGTTTGATTTGTTCAACGATTTGATTTTATATCTCTCTGCCTCTCTCAGCGTTGTTCATGATTTGATTAAGTTAAAGGACAACAGAGTCACAGTCAGCACTCAATAACTGCAACGTCTAACCGCAAAACATTTATCTCAAACTTGAAATTTAATTCAATTATTATAGCAGTGTTTTTGGTCTAGATAAATAATATTAATATATTTATGTGTGATTTCACTGTATTCACTTCATACAATAATCTCACACATATACTCTTAATATCCGTCACTCATCGATGGCCACTGTGATTATTGCTTACGTTACGCTACTTACGTACTTTGCTGCTTATAATTAAGTGTTGACAACACCAAAAAAATGAAACTCACCTGCAATGAGAGAGAGCGAGAGAGAGAGAGGGAGAAAAAACAAATTAATAACATGAAATGCAGCGTAAATGATAAATCAACTGGCTAAAAATACAAAAACAATTACAGCAGCAACAGCAGCAACGTCGACGTCAGCGTCGACGCCAGCTGCCTAAAAAGGCTAACAATTGCAAAAATCTGCACAAGCGACGTCAAAGTGAAGCTAAAAATATTTTGTATTCGCTTCGAATATCCAAAATTAGCTGCGACGACGACGTCAGCGGTGTACAGGGAGCAGAGGAGAGACGTGTGAACGTCACTGTTGAACCGTCGCCGGTGCCGTCGCGGTTGCTGTCGACGGCAGCAGCAGGTTGGCAGAAAGTCTGCCACTGATAACGGGAAATGGCATGCCAGCAGCACCAGCTCACTCACACTCACTCACTCACTCACTTACACTCATTCACTCACAATCTCTCACTGTGGCTCTCTCGCCTAGCCGGTTACTCTCTCTCTCTCCCGCTCTCCCTCTCTCACACTCTCATGCAGCTCCGGGCAACGGCTCACGCCAAAATAAACAAAACAAATGTAAAGTGCGCCCTTCCTTTACAACCCACACGCCCCACCATCCCCTCATTTTGAAAAAGAATATGTGGGCATAACAAAAATGAAAATTGTACGCGAAATGTACGCCGCAAATGGCAGCAGATTTGCCATTAAAATGTACACAGAAGCTTTACGTTATTCACGTAAAACGCAAACATTGAGGCGCAAGAGTTGGAGCAGAGAGGCAGGCGAGCGGGGAGGGGAGAGAGAGCGGAGTGTGAGTGTGAGTGAGTGCAAGAAAACATAGACAAACATTCGCAGCATAGCATAACAAAAGAAATTGACAAAACCGATGGGGGCGATTTTAAACAGTGCGCTGTTAAACGTTAACAGTTGCCGTCGCACTTAACAGCGCTGTGGCTGTTAAGCAATTTACAACATAATAAATTAATTAGAGACTTAAATCGCTTTTAAAAATAAGTCGTTTGACCACACAAAATGGTTTCGTTCTAATAAATGTGTATATGTATGCCAAATTAAATATAGCAACAAAGCATACGCATATACATATAATAAAAGTGATTTAAATATTTTAAATGAAAATTTCTCTGCCGTTGTTATTTGTGTTTCATTTTCTGTTTTGATAGTTTTCTCAAGATTTCCATTGTTTGCTGTTGTGAAAATTACACAAAATGAATGACTAGTTTGTTCAACTTAATAGTGAAATTGTAGCGACTTTTTAGTAGCTATTAAAAACTTTGTTAGCTTGATTAAAATTTAAACACTTTGTTTTAATTATTGTTGTTTATTGTTAATTGTTGCTAAAGTTACAAGTGTTGTTAATTAATTAATATATATTACAGCACGTAAGTGTTAAAAATAAATCAGCAACAATGGCAACAATACACAAAAAGATACTTGTGCAACACAAATATATTCGCAACACTCCGAGACAGTTGCACAGAAACCAAATATTAAATAATATTCATATGTATTGATAAATATATGAATAATTGGGTGTATATATACAACTGACTAACGACTGTATACACTTTATTAAGCCGATATATATATACATACATATATATATATATTTGTGTGCCTGCATCTGAATAATGACGTTCCGTGTGTAAAATATTAAACAAAAAACATTCAAAAAAAAATAATAATATTAATAATATGTATAAAAATGCAAGTGATAGCCAGCAGCAGCAGCAACAGTGGCAACAGTGACATGTTGACAAATTCAATTAGCCAGACAGCAAGAGTCGGCCAATAGATTACAGCAACAACAACAACTAAATAGCTTTGGGCGGATTTTTTAAGTGCGAAGAGAAACGCGCAAATGTGTGAAATGAAAATTGCATTATGGCAAAAACACACAAATTAAAAAAAATAAAAACACATTCAATAAAATATAAAATGTTGGACAGAGTGCTCGATGAGCAGATACCCTGTTATATACTTTAGCTAACAAAATCTGTGTCTCTTGCAGTTGATCAATAATATGATCACAGAATAATATATATTAATTCCAAGATCTTTCTATATCTTTATAATTGTGTCTCCTAATCGGTTTTTATCGATAATGAAATAAGCTTTATGTGTGTTTGATATACGAGAAATTAGATAACAAA